AAAAGTATAGCTAGCAAAAGGATAGCCAATAAACAAAATTGTACACTGTTGTAAATGACTTTAAACCTTCCGGAGTAGCTTTATTTTATTGAAACAGCGACAGTGCATGAAAAATTGACGTTGTTGATGAGGAAGCTAAAAAAATTAGCAGCTTCCGGAAGAAATATTTTCTTCAACAAATTGATACTTATTAAATTATACTTTTATAAAGTAAATAAAATTGTTTTCAACAAATAGTTTATGCTTAAAGTATAGTTAAGAACTAACTCAAAAACAAAAATTTATTTTCTTACTTCGTCCTCAAAAAAATTTCCAAAATTTCCTTTTTTCATTTTGCTTTTCCCCTCTTTCATTCACCACAATCGTTACGTTCTCCTAAACCATTGCATATTATATGTTCAAAAAAGTGGTGTTTGACAAATCGTTTGATAAATTAACATAAATCACACAAAAAAAAAAGAAAAAATTTTCTATTAAAAAAAACCTAAAATGCCAGTAGTGTAAGAAGAAGCTTTCTATGATGTTATAGTATTAAAATGGAAAACAGCAACAGAAATATCGCCTAATGTATGACCACTTTTGTTTTGTTTTTTCTTCTCTCTTCTCCTACCCCTCATTCCGTCTCATCCTTCTTCTCCCTCCTCTCCTTCGTCCTCTTCCGCTAACCACTTGTTGACTGTTTGCAATAAAGCCAATAAAAAAAATGAATTTTTCCTTCCCAAACATCGTGGCCCACTAAAACAAAATTGACAAATGTAAATGAAGGAATAAATCTCTACAGGTTACTTCGAAAACAGACGACAAGGTTGCGAGAAGAAAAAAGCTGCATAAAAAATGCTTCTTTTTGAACGCAATAACCCCTCAGTGTCAACTTAGCAAACGACAGATTTATCGGACAACTGATTTCTAATCTCATTTCCTGGTTCCTCAAACACTTTACTAACCAGAGAACAAAAAAACCAAAAAGTTACCTGCTAGTGTTATTAGGACACAATTCAAAACAACATAAAAGTCAAGAAATATCTATATCGCCTTAGACCACAATGTAATAACTAAGGAATGGCAAAAAGGCGCTGGTCTCAAAGCTTTTTTGCCTCCGATATTGGCGAATGTGACGATGGTGATTATGTTGGTGATCAGATGCTTGCAGCTAACGTTATATAATCAGGGAATGTTGCGAGAGTAAGCAAAGAAGTTTTTTTTCGATGAATTAGTCTTGAGAAGGCAAAGTTGGAACATTTTTGAAAAGACTAGAAACAATTTTTCGCCAATAAATGGATCAAATTCGTGAAAGAACCTGAGAAAAACGTTGTTGATAGCAAACAACGTCAGATTACCCAAGCGTAGATCTCAATTTTTTTATTTTTTTTTATTT